AGATTGCAGGTTTGATTCCAGTCAGGGCACATACAAGAAGCAACCAGTGAATGCATAAATAAGTAGAACAACAGGTTGATGTTTTTTTCTCTCTCTCCTTCTCTCTGTTTCCTCTCCCTCACTCCCTCTCTCCCTCCCATTCTCTTTCTGAAAATCAGTAAAATATAGAGACATGCATTAAAAAAAAAGATTAGATCTGGCTGGTATTGCTCAAAGGTTAGAGCATCAGCCTGAGGACTGAAGAGTCGCAGGTTTGATTCCCAGTCAAGGGCATGTACCTGGGTTGCAGGTTCAATCCCTGGCCCCTGTTAGGGTTGTGCAGGAGGTAACCAATTGATGTATCTCTCTCACATTGATGTTTCTCTCCCTCTGTCCCCCTCTCTCCCCCTCCCTCCTTTCCACTCTATCTAAAAATCAGTGGGAAAATATCCTTGGGTGAGGATTAAAAAAAAATTATAATATGCAACTGTGTTATTATTTCCAGGGACACTAGAGAGATTCCTGCTTATTATAAGGCTTTAAATTTAGAAGCTGGAGATCCCGAGGGTATAGTGGGAAAGAGGTGATAGGGGAAAGTCTGATTAAAGTGGCTAAGGTTATGATTTTAAGATTAAGCATTCTTATTTATTTTTGGTACATGCCCCTAACGGGAACCGAACCTGGGACTCTCTGGTTCGCAGGCCGACGCCCCAACCACTGAGCCAAACTGGCCAGGGCAAGATTAAGCATTCTTATGCCCAAGTGAAGAGCTCTTCTTTTGGAAATGAAATTCTTTTTTTTTTATCCTCACCCGAGGACACTTTTTCATTTTTTGTTCAGGTAGAGTGGGAGGGAGAGAGAGGAACAGAGAGAGAGAGAGAGAAACATCGATGTGAAAGGAACACTTCGAGTGGCTGCCACCCACACAACCAACCAGGGCCGGGGACAAACTGCAACCGAGGTACATGCCCCTAGCGGGAACCGAACCCCGGTCTCTCAGGACCGCAGGTGGACGCTCTAACCGCTGAGCCAAACCGGCCAGGGCGGAAATGAACTTCTTATTAGGTCCCTTTTTGGTGCCTTTAAAGCATGGTTTCTGTGTAACTTAATTTTTCTGGGTTTTCTAAGCTAAAGTCCAAAATGAAAATCTTATTCTTTTCTCTCTGTTGACTTTTTTTCCCCTTATCACATTTCTTGATAATTTTCTTATTTACCTGTTCTATCTACCTGCTCTGTTGTTCATCAAACATGATCTTTTTACTCATATACTTTAATTATTGAGGGATCACAGTATAGACCCTGTCTCTGGTCAGCCACCCTGGGCTTCCTTCCCCTGGTCACTTCACTGTCCCCAGCAGTGTGTCTTCTGGGTTCTCTTATAGTCAACAACCCTATTAAGGCAAGTGTTCTGATGGCTGAAGCATCACTAGCACGGAAGCAGCGGAAAACTCATACTACCTTTATTCCGCTGATGCTGAATGAGCTGCCACAGGTTGGGGACCTGGTGGGCCTGGATGCTGAGTTTGTCACCCTTAATGAGGTAACCAAGACCAAAAGTGTGGGGTGTTGGAACAGAACTCTGGGGATATTAGGAGTCATAAGCATTTCTCTGATTTCCTTATTAACTCTTCTCATGTAGGAGGAAGCAGAGTTGCGCAGTGATGGCACCAAGTCTACCATCAAGCCAAGCCAGATGTCAGTAGCTAGGATTACCTGTGTTCGGGGCCAGGGACCTAATGAGGGTATCCCCTTCATCGATGACTACATCTCTACCCAGGAACAGGTATTAGGATATGGAAGTGCAAGTGAGACAGATCTTGTGCTTATGTAGAGTGCTCTAGGACCCAGGGAAGAGTGGTAGGTGGAGATTGTGCCTTGTTTCCTTGGATACTTGTCTTTTTCTCTATCCCTAGGTGGTGGATTACTTGACTCAATACTCAGGGATAAAGCCAGGAGATCTCGATGCCAAGATTTCTTCTAAGCACCTCACAACTCTCAAGTCTACCTACTTAAAGCTTCGTTTTCTTATAGACATTGGAGTCAAGTTTGTGGGTCATGGTCTGCAGAAGGACTTCCGGGTCATCAACCTCATGGTTCGGGCAGGGCTCTTTTAAGAGTCTTCTTTGAGTGTGGGCTCCTCGTGTATACATTGTGCTTTTGGGGAATGTGAAATTATGGGATCCCCTACCTTCAGTCTCCCATTCTTTTATCCCTGCCAGGTGCCCAAGGAACAAGTCCTTGACACTGTCTATCTGTTTCACATGCCACGAAAACGAATGATTTCCCTACGATTCCTTGCTTGGTACTTTCTGGGTGAGTTGCTCTGCCTTGAAGGCCCTTGGGGTGCTCATTAAGAGAAGGAAAAAGTGCTGGAGGATCCAAGGGGGTAGGAAGGACCCTGAGTTAGTGGCGAAGTTATGAATGGATTTAATTGGCTTCAGCATCCCTTCTGTGCACCAGGGGTGGTGTTTGGCCTCTTCCTTTAAAGAGGTCAGGTTTTTGTTTTGTTTTGTTTTGTTTTTTTGGTACATGTCCCTAGCGGGAACCGAACCTGGGACTCTCTGGTCCGCAGGCCGACGCTCCAACTGCTGAGCTAAACCGGCCAGGGCAAGGACAGTCAGGTTTTTTATTGTCTATTGGGAGTTGGGGATGTGATAGGGGACATGTTCTTATCTTCCTTTGCTAGGTCTCAAACTATTCCACCTCTACTTCCCCCAGACCTGAAGATTCAAGGGGAGACCCATGACAGTATTGAGGATGCTCGCACGGCCCTTCAGCTCTACCGAAAGTATCTGGAGCTAAGCAAAGATGGCACTGAGCCTGAGTCCTTTCACAAAGTGCTCAAAGGCCTTTATGAGAAGGGCCGAAAGATGGACTGGAAGGTGCCTGAACCTGAGGGCCAGACAAGTCCCAAGAGTAAGGCCTGGGATGGGACAAGGGAAACTGGACTGGGTGGGTTTTGATTATATATGTGAAGATTATACCCATCATAAAACGATGATGATAATAACAACAGTACCACCCCTACCTTATATACTTGCAAAGTACTTAACAGTTTACAAAGCACTTAATCCTCCCAATAATCAGTGAAATAGATTTTGTTATTGAGACTCTCCATTGGTCCTAACCTCCTCTTGTCCAATTCTAAAATGTTTGGGGCAAGTCCAAGCCCTCTTTGCTCTTGCATTTGTCCTTCCTAAGAAGAATCCCAGATGCATTTTCTCCACTCACCTTAAGAGTCAATGTTCTTGGTTTTGTCTCTGACAGATGCAGCTGTTTTTTCCTCAGTGCTGGCACTCTGACCTCACCCTCTCTCAGCGAACTACTTGCCTCTACCTTTAGTGTTCTGTGGCCTCAGAACTGGGAGATGGCTTCCTAAGTTGGCTGAACCCTGTCTACTTCCAGAATTGAACCTGCTCAGGGTTTACAGATGGTGCTATTAATAGAACTGGAATGCAGCAGAACTATTGCAAAGGGTCTAGCAGCTAGATTCCTTTTTCATCCTTTGCAAAAAACAGTGGGACAGAAACAGAGTCTATAATTGACCCAGATGGAAAATAATTGGTATGCTTAATAAATATCCTGTTTGATTAATACCCAGGCAAAGAACATCCTGGAGCCAAAACTTGCAGTTCCTAGTTGGCTAAGGACAGAATTACTGCACAGTGACCATATACAACAGTAGTTCAAAACTTAGCTCTGACTGCTTGAAGGATGCCAGGAAGCCAGCATGCAGAGTCTTGGTGGCTATACCCAACCAGTGTTGCCAACACCATCATTGCCAAAAAATGGCCTTTGAGTCCAAGATAAAGCTTGGCTGCTGGCTTCATTCCTAGCGATAGCTGAGAAGCATCTGTCTTCCATCCACTCCATTCTCCTGTCCCCAGTTTTGTTTTGTTTTTTGTTTTTTTTTTTAAGTTTTGTTTTAAACTGCATGTTTTATAATATAAAAACAAAAAAATTGACTGTCTTCTCTCTCATTGAGACCTGTGAGTGAAGGGTTCTTGGACTTTGGTCTCCTCTTCTTTCTTTGTGTTGGCTTTCTATTACAACCTAATGCTTTTATTATCATCATTTTCTAATCCTTACCTGAGGATATTTTTTCCATTGATTTTCAGACAAAGTGGGAGGGAGGGGGGGGGAGAAAGGAGGGGGGTAGGGAGAGAGAGAAACATCGATGTGAGAGACATCAGTTGGCTGCCTCCTGCAGGACCCCAACCAGGTCCGGGGATTGAACCACAACTGAAGTATGTGCCCTTGACCGGAATCAAACCCATGACTCTTTGGTCCACAAGCCAGTGCTCTAACCACTGAGAAAAACCTGCCAGGGCACAATCTAAGGTTTTTTTGTTTTGTTTTGTTTTGTTTTTGTGGTACGTGCCCCTAGTGGGAACCAAAGCCAGGACTGGTCTGCAGGCAGATGCTCAACCTCTGAGCCAAACTGGCCAGGGCTAATCTAAGGTTTTTTCTTTTTTTCCTTTATTGATTTTAGAGAGAGGAAGGGAGAGGGAGAGAAAGAGAAACATCAATCATAGAGCTAGAACATTGATTGGCCGCCTCCTGCATGCCCCCTACTGGGGATTTGGCCCACAACCTGGGCATGTGCCCTGACTGGGAATCGAACCAGTGACCTCTTGGTGCATGGGTCGATGCTCAACCACTGAGCCACACCAGCCAGGAGCACAACCTAAGGTTTTTAAATTCTCACCTAGGAATGAAGGTAAAGCTCTGTGTAGTCCAAAGTTAAGGATATGGAAGTAGTAGAATTATGTTTTTTTCTGGACAATATTAGGTCTTTGCTGTGGCAGTCCAGTACTCTCAGGTCAGATTCTTTTAAGATGTACAGTAGGATTTACCTGTTAACTGTAAAAGGGGAGTGGGGAAGCTGATAAACTACAGGTCCTAGGGTATCTTAAAACCTACTGTTAGTAGCTACTAACAGGATCTGTGGGGTGCTGCTGTGCTTCCTGGGAGATGTAGTTTCCTGAGTACTGAAACTAGGGTTTCTTATTTGCAATCAGCGCACCTTTATTTTTCAAGGTCCTAGCCCACGTAGACTGACACACGCATGCGCCTGGCCTCCTCCATACACCATTCTAGAATCTGTCCTTCCTTCAGGCCACTCCTATTCTTCGGCTGACCCCTAGTGGTCACGTGGAGCTGCTCGCCACGCAAGTCTGGGTCCTGCGATCCACCGGGGTCCTCGCTGCCTGGGAGTCGTTCCTAAGCTGCCTGTTCGCGCGAGAGTAGATGGACGAGTTTGGGGTCCGACTCGGGCGTGAGGCTTGCACTGCAGTACGTCGGACCGCTGCTTAGGCGCCCACTTAGGGTGCTGTGAGCTGTTCAGGCGGTCGCCAGGGCACCCCGTGCCTGAAAAGCGCCGGAGCGCTCTGGAGAAGCCCGGACAGCCCTACTCCTCCGCAGCCAGGTGCTAGGGTCCAGAACTAAAGTGAGAGGTCGACCGTCTTTCAGCGCCTGGGCCACCGCGGCGGCCCTGGGAGCAGAGGTGGGACGGATGCAAGTGGCAGTGAGGGTCGGGGATGGACTGAAGCGAAGGCAGTGACGGTGTCCTTAGAAAGGGGGCTGGTCCACACAAGAAATAGTTTATAGGCTGGTAATATCGGTGCTGAGACCAAATAGGCCCTAATTATTGAGTGTGCTCCTCGCGGGCCGGCCACCTGGCTGCCTCCTGGCCTGAATCACCTGCCTTCTTTGCCGGCAGCTCCTCTGTGCCTCTCGTCCTCGTTTACTCGTCCACCTCCATTTGGTAGTTGCCACATAGCGCGGTGAGCCCTACGCAGAAGACGCTGAAGAACCAACATCTAGGGCCTCCCCTGTCAACGTAGTCCTGGGGCTGAGCCCCAAGTCCGGAGCTCGCGCTCTAACCCACAGCCCTGCGGAATCCGGATCCTCTAGTGCAGAAACAGAGGAACCCCCTTTGTATCCCGGCCATTTCCTGGAAAGTAGAAGCAGGGTTACACTGAGGCCTTTGTAGGCCTTGAGATGAGGGGGTGGGTGGAGGTATGGAGGCGGCTCCTCATACTTATGCTTTATTCCGATCCAAATCCAGGTGGAGCAACCCCATTACGTTAAAGATGAAAGGCTGGGGTTCGCTGGCCCTGCTTCTGGGGGTCCTGCTGGGAACTGCCTGGGCTCGCAGGAGCCAGGATCTACACTGTGGAGGTAAAGACACAAAGAGAAGTGGGAGGAAGGAGGTTGTGGAATGCAGAACCTTAGGAGAACATGAGATCCAAAGCCTGGATAAGAATGAATGGAAATCTCTAGGTTGATTTCTTTTTCCCCTTCCCCCACCTTCTCTCTCCCTGCACCAGCTTGCAGGGCTCTGGTGGATGAACTAGAGTGGGAAATTGCCCAGGTGGATCCCAAGAAGACCATTCAGATGGGCTCTTTCCGAATCAACCCAGACGGCAGCCAGTCAGTGGTGGAGGTAACTGTTACCGTTTCCCCAAATAAAGTGGCTTATTCTGACTTTGACTGAGGGCTCAACTAATTAAGGAGGAGCTTGGCTTAATAGAAATGAAAAATACATTGACCCAGAGTGATATCTAAAAGATAGGGCTGTCTCATTTGGAAGAGGCTGGAGATTTGTACCCCCTGCAGTTGCTTCCTGACTCCAAACCTTGATGCTTTGTTTCTGCTGTAGAAGTTAACAAGGGAACCTCATCAACCCTTCTCCACATATTTAATCTATGTGACTCATGTTTTCATTATGGCAATATGGTATTCACACAAGCATTCATTCAAAAAAAGAACAGAAGTTCTCATATTTAGGATATTTATTTTAGTTGAAAATATAACACATATAACAAAGCTGTACCTAGTGAACAATAAATAAAGAAATGTTAATATTGTAATGCTTGTGAAATGATTTGATAATTATCCTCAGAGCCTATACCACCTTTTTAATGCTCTCCTATTGAGGGCAGGTTTTAGTCTCATTTTAATTTTTAAAAATCATTATCTTACAGTAAGATACAATAACATCCATAAAAATTAAGGGAATTCAAAGGAAAAGAACACCTAGTTGACTAAAACTAATTAAAGAAGTCTCTATAATTTGGACCTAATGACACCTATTTTATGTACTGGGATTTTATAATGAGGTAAAATAAGACCATATACAGTATTTGAAAGCGCTTTGGAGTTACAGAAGTAAACCCATACTGTTTTTAAATATGGCTGGCTTTTTAGAATAAGTTGGTTGAGCTAGATTTGGAAGGAAAAGTAAGGATGTAAATTACTAATGTACAGAGGTAGAAGAGTGTGACCCAAGGCTGAGGACATTTCTAGGTGCCTTATGCTCGCTCAGAGGCCCACCTCACAGAGCTGCTAGAGGAGGTATGTGACCGGATGAAAGAGTACGGGGAACAGATTGACCCTTCCACCCACCGCAAGAATTACGTACGTGTAGTGAGCCGGAATGGAGAATCCAATGAGCTGGACCTACAGGGCATCCGAATTGATTCAGACATCAGTGGCACCCTCAAGTTTGTGGTGAGCTATGGGAATGGGTAGCTGGTTCTCAGAAATTAGGGGAGTTATTGGAGAGCCCAAGTGGAAAATTGGGTTAATATCCTTGTTCTCTCTGGAGTCAGAAGCAAGAGGCCTCTTCTTGCTACCTCCTCTCACTCGTTTTTCCCTTGGGTTGGCAGTGTGAGAGCATTGTGGAGGAATATGAGGATGAACTCATTGAATTCTTTTCTCGAGAGGCTGACAATGTTAAAGACAAACTTTGTAGTAAGCGAACAGGTAAGCTGCTCCCACTTTACCTTCTGTCCCTCACAACTGTGGAATCTGGCACATTCCCTAGCAGGTCCCCCCACCCCCAATCCTCTGATATTAGCTCAAGAGTTGACTTCCATTACCCATGGCTTAGGAACTTGGGTTGTTCCTATCCAGTCTCTTCCTGACAGCTTTCAGAATTTGTGGCTCCCTCATCTGAGGTACAGGTAGAGGATAATGGGAATGTTTTGTCATTTAAAAGCATATGCTTTGGCCCAGCTGGAGTGGCTCAGTGGTTGTGAGCATCAAAGTTTGCTAGTTTGAATCCCCGTTGGGGCAACTGATCAATGTTTTTCTGTCACATCGATGGTTCTCTCTCTTTCTCTCTCCCCGTCTCCCTCCTTCTCCCTTCCTCTCTCTAAGCAAGTCCTGGGGGAGGATTTTTTTTTTAAATGTCTGCCCGGCTGGTGTGGCTCACTGGATTGAGCACCATTGATGGACTGAGAGGGTCCTGGTTTGATTCCTGGTCAGGGCACATGCTGGGGTTGCAGGCTTGATCCCCAGTAGGGGGCCTGCAGGAGGCCCAATGTTTCTCTCTCACATCAATGTTTCTATCTCTTTTTCCCTTCCTCTCACTCTATAAAACAAATAAAGCCCTGGCCGGTTTGGCTCAGCGGTTGGAGCATTGGCCTGCAGACCAGAGAGTCCCAGGTTCGGTTCTAACTAGGGGCACGTACCAAAAGAAAAAAATAAAATAAAATAAAAAATCAATAAAAACATATTTTAAAAAATGTTCTGATAAATGGTGGTTAGTATGTGTATCAGTTTGATTTTTGGGTGTGTTTTTTTTTTTAAATCCTCACCCGAGGACATTTTTCCATTTATCATCAGACATAGTGGGAGGGAGGAGGGGAGAGAGAGAGAGAGAGAGCATGCGAGCGTGCACATGAGAGAGAAACATCCATGTGAGAGAGACACATGGACTGGTTGCCTCCTGCACGACCCAACCAGGACCAGGGATGAACTGCAATGGAGGTACGTGCCCTTGACTGGAATAAAATCTGAGACTCACTGGTCCGTGGGCCGACGCTCTAACTGCTGAGCCAAATCGACCAGGGTTTGGGTTATATTCTTGATAATGGTATATATCAATATAAGAGTGGCATTTTCTTTCAAACTGTTATGTGCTATTTGCAGATCTATGTGACCATGCCCTGCACATATCGCATGATGAGCTATGAATCACTGGAGCAGCCCAGACTGACAAGCTTGATGGATCACCCCCAGGAGGGGAAAAGGTGGCAATGCCTTTTATATTATGTTTTTATTGAAATGAACTGAAAAAATATGAAACTAAAAGGATGAACTGTGTTGTCTTTTCATGCCCAGAATTGGCCTCAGATTAGGTTTGAAAATAGGGGATTCCAGACAGGAAAGAAAAGGGGGAAGGGAAGGAAGAGCTTTGGGAATGATATAGTGTGAAGGTAGGAGGACCCTGAAGCTTTCATTCTTTTGCCATCTGAGATTCCTGCTGCACTCACAAACTAGATAAACATTTATTCAGTACCTACTCAAGAAAATGTGCTTAAAGTTTAATTGTGGAGAGGAGAGGACCCTCTGTGATTAAGCAACAGAACAGAGTAAGGGTATGGTAGTATAGGATTCTAGAAATTACACGTATTCATACTGATGAAACAAAGACAGAGCTTCATCTTGAAGAAAGTAATGGACATGCATTATTCTTCCCTATCTGCCTTTACAGATGGAGGGATTAACAAGAGCATGCAGAAAGGGGAAAATGGATGTAATCAACTCAGCTGAAAAGTTAGGGCTTTATCAGATAGGGAGAAATTAGGTAAGGAATGTTATTTAATAAAAGGCCTTATTTGATGGCCTATGTTTTTAGATTGGATGACAATAGCAACACTAAAGTATACCTTTTTCATTTCCATCACTAGCTATTGTCAATCTAGACTATAAGTCTGTCCTCACTTTCTGTAGGTAGAGATTCTGTACTAAGGCATAAGGATGAAAACAAAGGGTAACTTCCTTGAGGAATTTTTGTTTGTTTTAATCCTCACCCAAGGACACCTTTCCATTGATTTTTCAGATAGAGTGGGAGGGAGGGAGGGAAATATCGATTGGTTACCCTCCCCACACAAGGGCTAGGGATTGAACCACAACTGAGGTACGTGCCCTTGACCAGAATTGACTCTTTGGTCCAAGGTCTGACGCTGTAACTGCTGAGCCAAACCAGCCAGGGCTCAAAGACTTTTAAAATTAAGCATTTGAGAATCTAAAGGGACCTTGGAGATCATCTAGTTCATCTCTGTCCATATTACATAAGAAGAAACGAATGCCCAGAGAAACCACAGGTCCTAAAGTTATGCATTTAGTGGCAAAACTGGATCTATAAGCTAATGTTTCCAAGAGTTAATCTGATCTGATAGAGCTTCTGTTTTAAGTCTTTTTTCCTCTTAATTACCTTGCACACAGAATGAATGTGTTCAACAAACCTTTCTTATACCATGATCCCTATGAAATCTAACAGATGACATAGCTCAGAGCAAGTACCCTGAAATTAGTTGACAACTAAATTCAAGATCTAGTGTTAATTTGTTCTTCTCTCATCATTCATAAGAAGTGCTGTATATTGCCCTGGCCGGGTGCTCAGTGATTAGAGCATCAGTCTGCAGACCAATGAGTCGCAGGTTCGATTCTGGTCTAGGGCATGTACCTCTGTGGTTTGTGTCCGGCCCTAGTCAGGGTCATGCAGGAGGCAGCCAGTCGATGTGTCTCTCTCATATTGATGTTTCTCTCTCTCTCTCTGCCCCCCCCCCCCCCCCCCGCCACTCTATCTGAAGATAAATGGAAAAATATCCTCATGTGAGGGGGGAAAAAAATGCTATATCCTATCAAGTCAATTTGCACAGCAGCTGTTATTAACCTTTTAGTCTTTAGTGATACACAGGAACAATGTTCACATGGTTCATACCCCTGTGGGTATGCCCAGGATTCTGTCCATTGCCTGCTTGGTGTCCAAACACTTCTTACTCTTCCATTAGAAAGTTTACCAGAAGTATAAGTGAGAGTACTCATATAGGGAACTTGAAACTTCAAATTTACAAAAAACCAAAGTATTCACAAGTCTTCATAAAATAAATTTAAGGTTAATTGGTAACAAATTACTTGAAGTGCATCTCACTAGTTTGTCACTGTACAGCTGTTAAGAACTCTCTAGTCCAAGTCTTTGCCATTGGTACACAGAGATGTGTCCTACATAAAGAAGGGTGGAAGTTATCGTCTTTGACTTGATCCTCAGAGGTTAAAAGGATATACTTTGTACATCTCTTAATTCATATCCCAGGTTACCAGGAATCTGTAAATTTATCTAAACTCTTCTGGAGGTTCACCGTAACAAATTATTCTAGCCCAGTATTTGATAGAGCATATACTCAACCTTGCATATCTGGTTACACTTTAAGCTTTAGATGCCTTCTAAATGAATTTATTAGTAAAATGATAAAACTTAAACATCCCCAAAGTCAGTGTTAAATGAGAGCCAGTCGTGACTAGGAAAATATACTACGTGAAAACCCAGTCCTTTAAAAATAAGTTTCAGAGGATGTTTTGCTACAAAAAAGCATTCAGAACAGGGAAAAGATTCCTTTAAATACAGACTGGGATGAATAGCAAGGAAAAGAGAACTAGTACAGTTGACCCTTGAATTGTGTGGGGGTAAGGGGCATCAATCTCTGCATAGTTGAACATCCACATAGAACTTTGGACTCCCTGAAAACTTAACTAGAATTGTCCCTTGTTGTCCATGGGGAACTGGTTCCAGGACCCCCATGGACACCAAAATATGCAGATGATCAAGTCCCTTATATAAAACAGCATAGAATAATGCGTACACTTGATCTGCTGCATCCACGATTCTCAACTGCAGATAAAAATACTGTTTTTGATCTGTGGTTGGTTGAATCTGTGAATGCGAAACGTGGCTATACAAAGGGCCAACTGTGTATTTAACTGAAAAAAATCCACATGTAAGTTAACCCACTGCATATATTGAGTACTCACATAACAAGCACATACACATTATTATTTTTGTTAATCCTCACCAGAAGATATTTTTTCCATTGATTTTTTTATAGAGAGTGGAAGGGAGGGAGAGAGAGAGAAACATCGCCTGACCAGAGCCAGGGATCAAACCTGCAACCCAGATATGTGCCCTTGATCGAGAATCAAACCAAGACCCTTTGGCCAATGCTCTAACTCCCGAGCCACACCAGCTGGGGCAATCACACATTCTGATTCAACTTTACAACTCTTAAATAGATGTCACTCCCATTTTACAGATGAAGAAGCTAAGCTCAAAGAGGTTGTGCTTGCTAGTGAGCAGGGAGCCAAGTCTTCAAGCCTAGTGATCACCTTATCCCTAGGCCAGTGGTCTTTCTGCTAACCTCACTCTGTGTAGTGGAGTCTCCGCAGAGTACCTATTGGCTGTGAAAAGTAGTACTTCTTTTATTTGAAAACTATCTCCAAGTTTGAATGCATGCCCTCTGATTCTAACAATTTATAATGAAAAAAAACACTATATTCTCTTCAGCCAGTTTTCCAAACTTATTATTCCATCCCCTTAGTCATTTTTAGGTGCTAACTGTTTGTCTCCCCTACCTTTAAGTATTCTGGGAGGATCACCATTTGTCATGTTTTTCAGGTATGGGTATGCAAAGGTTTTAACAAATAAGTAAGACTATACTTTCTTTCCTTTTTTTTTAATTCCTCACCTGAGGATATTTTTCTACTTAAGAGTGGGAGGGAGGAAGAGAGAGAAACATCGACATGATAGAGCCACATCAACTGTTTGCCTCCCGCACGACCTGACCAGAGCTGGGGACAAACCACAACTGAGGTATGTGCCCTTAACTGGAATCGAACCCGTGACTCATTGGTCCGTGGGCCAACGCTCTAACCTCTAAGCCAAACAGGCCAGGGCAAGACTACAGATTCTTTTAAAATATTTTTTTTTATTGATGTTTTAGAGAGAAAGAGAGAGAGAAAAACATCAATGTGAGATATAAACATCGATTAACTGCCTCCTGTACCCCCCCTACTGGGGATCAAGCCCGCAACCCAGGCATGTACTGCTCTGACCAGGCATCAAACCAGGACTTCTCAGTCCTTGGGACAACACTCAATCCACTGAGCCACACTAGCTGAGCTATAATTCCATATCTTTTAAAATATTTTTAAATGTATGCCCTGGCTGGTTTGGGTCAGTGGTTAGAGTGTCAAAGGGTCACGGGTTTGATTCTGGTCAAGGGTACATACCTGGGTTGTAGGTTCATCCCTGGAAGCAACCCATCAATGTGCCTGTCTCACATCTGTATTTCCCTCCCTCCCTCCCTCCCTTCCACTCTATCTAAAAATAAATGGAAAAATATCCTTGGGTGAGGATTAACAAAAATAAATAAATAATAAAATATTTTTAAATATAGAAAAACATTGTACCAATATGCCCAGGAGACAGTTAACAATGACTCCAAAATCCCCTTCCTGAACTGCAGCTGATAATTCACAGTCATCACCATATAGACAATATGGCTTAATAGTTAAGATACAGCTTCTGGAGTGAGACCAACTTAAGTCTGAATTCTGTCATTGTCAATTGCAAGCTATGGCCCTGAACAGAACTTTATCTAAATTTTGGTTTCCTCTTCTGTAGAGATATTAATATTACTTACATCCCTTAGAGTTGTGGGGATTAATTAAGATAATGTGTGTACCACATTTAGATAGTATCTGTAAATAATAAGTATTCAATAAATTTTAGCTATTATCCTTTAAATATAGGAGTTTGGTTTACTGGTTCTAGTAGAGTGAGTTTAAGTTTAGGCTGCATTCTCCCACTTGTATTTGGCCACCAGAGGGCACCATTGCCTTTGTCTATTTTAAAGAGGTCCTCCCAAGGTCAAGATGACCTCGGTGCTCAGCCTTCTGTCCCTTGCCCCCTTAAGTTCACAGGAACTTAGTTGTATATGGGCCCTAGAACTCACTTGTCTGTTTTATCCATACCAATCCCTTTCCCTTAACTTTCTTTTTTAGTTTTTTTTTTTTCTTTATTGATTTTAGAGAGAGAAGGAGATACAGAGAGAGATGGAAACATTGATGAGAGAGAACATCAATTGGCCGCCTCCTGCATGCCCCCCATTGGGGATTGGGCCCACAACCTGGGCATGTGCCCTGACTGGGAATCAAACCAGTGACCTCTTGGTGCATGGGTCGATGCTCA